AAATATTCATTTTTTATTAAATTCGAATTCAAAGTCTTAAATTGAAAATTAACCAATTCTCAGATTCTGAATTTTTGCATCCAACTAAAATGGAAAGTTTTCTTTTTTTATCTCTTAACTGTCATTTGATAAAATAGTGAGTAAAATACACTTTAATCTCAATATATTTAATAAATCATTAAAAAAGCTTTGTTTTTAGCTTTGTAATTAAATATATTATATATATTAACAACTTAATTTTTTTCTTTATTTACTTTATTTTTAGTACCTATTTTTATATTTTGCATTTATTATATATTTCAGAATAAACTGGCATAATTGGTCAATATTTACTATATATTATATATTTAGTTATATATACTTCTAATTCCAACTCATGAATTGAAAAAGAACCAATCTTGGAAATGGAAAATGCATATTCTGTATTATTTGTGCCAAAAATGTCAGTTTGATCAAATAATGAATAAATAATACACTATACTGCAGAAATAGTGAGGGTCGAACGGCATGCTATTCTGAGCCCAGCTGTGAGTTTCCTGTGAACAGACTTTCTCTACACACTACAGATCCTCTCGTGGATAATCATATTAGCACATTCCCGCATTGCCTCTCTTCCAAACCAAACCGGGCAGCACGGTGTCTAAATCTGTCCCTGCTCCACTCGATGCTTACCAGCATGTGAGGTACAGAACAGCACAACGGTGCTGTGTCTCTAAACCGCTGTAGGAGCTTTCAGCGTGTTATGTTTTTAGCCACAGTAATTTTATTCATTTTCTCAGCACGCTCCATTTTTGTGCTACTAACAATAGCATCTCTACAGCAGCCTTCCTTGTGCGCCACCTGCCAAACGTGCAGGAATTAAAATGCTAATTTGGTGCTATTAGTTTGACAGTGCAGCCATTACCCATGACCACACACCGTCCGGTGGTCCGGAGGTTACAATAACGCAACGCACCTGATTGAAACCACCCGGCTATTATGGAGTGCAGAAGTGAAGGGTAATGGACAGATTAAAGCAAAGTCTGGCTGATTATGTTCTTTCAGTTTTTCCAACAAAATCCTGTCACTGTGGGGGGAAAAAAAGACAAAAAGAAAGAAAGAGCATTCAATAACATATTCATTTTAATATGAATCACCACAATTTTGTTCACAAAACAGTTCACCCAAAAATGAAAATTATTTGTAAATGTAGTCCTTCTGAGGCCATCCAAGATTAGGATGAGTTTGTTTCTTCATTAGATTTGGAGAATTGTAGCATTGCATTACTTGCTCACCAATGGATCCTCTGCAGTGAATGGGTGCCGTCAGAATGAGAGTCCAAACAGCCGATAAAAGCATCACAATAATCCACACCACTCCAGTCCATCAGTTAACATCTGGAGAAGCCAAAAGTTGAAACAAATCCATCATTAAGATGTTTTAAACTAAAATATGAGTCCATATAATAACGCTTTCTCCAGTGAAAAAGTGACTACATTCATTTTTATTTTTGGGTGAACTCTTTCTTTTAAGGAATGTGCCATTTAATTTAATCACTCTTTATTTTATAGCTAAATACTGCAACATTACAGAAAGTAGAGTGAGAGCCATTCAAGATTTGTGTTTTTACAATGGAAAGACACTCACATACACAAACATATTTACCCACAAATACCTGCTTAAGCGTTGTAGCTTGGGATTTGTCTGATTTCTTACAGGATAATCCTTTTAAACCCTCTCTTAATTCATGGTTGTTTAGCGTGCTTTCCTCAGACATGCTCTGTTTTGCCGCTGTGAATTGTTCAGCAGCTGATTTAAGACTGAAATACTCTCTGTGTGAGTTGGGATTACTTTCATTTGGCTCGCAGTGAAGGCTTGTGTTTTTTGGATAGTCCTCTCTCTTCGTCTGACACGTCGCTCTGAAGCAGGCTGTGATAGATGACTGCTGTCGTTCTGCTGTGAGACAAATCGAGCTGGAAGCCTCTTTAGATTTCAGATGTGAGTGTGATTTAAGTGTGCTGTTGATCAGGGCATCAATGAATGGATTGAGGAGGTGATTAGACTCTATGGTTCTCTGCTATAATGCTCTTACCGTCTACTCCAGAGATTCTGCTTCCTTCCTGTAAGTGGCTGCCAGTCAATAAGGCCTCTTGTCACCTCAACTCCTTGCAAACTCAAGTGATTGTAATTATGCTGACATATTATGTCTCCTTAGGGCCTCTCCTGGCCTTTAACTCCCCTTATCTTAATAGTCTCTATTATAGGCCACTGCATAACAAAAAAAAATTTTCATGCAGTTTTTTTATTTAAGTTTTATTCTGTGTAAACATGCATAAGGCTGATATAAGCCAAAATGTATGTCATTGTATTTGGTATAGTTTTGGTTTTACATTTTTATTTTGTTTCTATTCTTTTCTCATTTGAGCAGTAATGAACATGAATGAAACAACTTTAATACGTTAAAGGTAAATATAAAACATTAAATGTAATATAAAACACACAATTTGAGAGGTTGAATAATTAACCCACTTGACGAATCAGTTTCATTCAATGAAGGATTCGTCAGACTAATTCAAATCAGTAACGTCAATGAGAATGATTCACTAAAAGAACCGGTTCAATTGAATCACATTGTTCCACACATCCAGTCTGTAATTACAAATATTTACATTTTACTAAGCTGCACTAGAAAAAAAAGAAGAAAAACAACTTATATTTTTTTAGACGGACAACGTTCAAAGTAGTAATAGCATTTTAGTCAAGCGTTTATGATTCAGATACCGCTTTGGCTTGTTCAGTTTCATTCAGTGAAGGATTCTTCTGACTAATTCAAACAGCAATTATAATGATTCACTAAAAGAACTGGTTCAACTGAGTCATTTATTCTTATACGCAACCAAAAATTGCTGGGTTGTAATTGGCATTAAATAATAATTGGCATTTCAGTGAGTCTGATTCGGTAATTACAATGTTTTATATTTTATGAACTTTCAGTAGCCAATAAATAAGAAAGACATAAAGAGTTGTTTGAAGTGCATTGGAGGATCCGTAAGACTGATTCATACCAGTGAAAATGATTCATTTAAATAACCTGCTCAACTGAGTCATTTAGCCTATTATGAATCGGACTACATGGATAGCGCTGGTGTGTTTGTTTTGGCATCTTTGTCGTGAAACACTCAAACCTAGATGAGGTCTTTTTTATCTTATATTCAGTTCAGAGTCAGACTGCAAACTATCATTCATAACTCAGGTGAATGTGGTTTCTTTTGCCTGTGCTCGAGATTTAGTGCCTCAGAAAACACTGGCATAATCACCAAAGAATGGATACTAACATATTAATTCCGGTTGATATATTTTTTCGGGTATATCGCTTTAACCGCCCACACCTGCATCGGATGGATATCTTTGACCGTTGCGTCGCATTGAATGTCTATGAGCCTCACCATTTTATGATGCTGAAAAACAGTCATTAACTTTATTATTATCTGTGGATAAAATGGTTTTTGCAGAATGTCAAATCTGCTCTTTTCAGTACAACACAGTAATACTGTGATAGGAGCCTGTAAAAATATAAAAACACCATGAAAATATAGTTCATATTACTGATGTGCTATATTATTAGTCTTTTGAAGTCAAAAATGTACTATTATGGTGTGCTTTTTCGAACCTGGTTATTTTATGGAAACATTGCGTAAACGTTCTGACAAGTTCTTGTGTTTCCATGGAAGGATATTATTGTTTCATTTTTTGGGGTTGAACTGTACCTTACCTTAAATTTGAGGTGAGTGACTTTAAATGCAATCATTTTGAGATTTGATTTGATTTGATTTGCAATAGGAAAAACAATTCATAGTGGTCTTGCTGAGAAAAGTTTGTGTTGCACAATTGCTATTATTCACACGCTCTTCAAAAATCAATAGCCTCCTTTGACTCCCAGCAGTGGGAAACAGGGTCTAAAAGTGCTTAATAACGGTCTGCCCTCTCGGCCCTGGCTGCAGAGATCTTGGCAGATTCCCCGCAGCAGGAAAGCACTGCCGCGTTGAATATGAGTCACTGAGCGACACGGCCAGAGGTCACGACCGCATGGATTCCAGAAAACACTCTTTGAGATGTGAATGTACTTTAAAGCGGTCATGCATTTTTATTATTTAATTTTTTCCTGAAGGACCATTTATTGTGGCAAAACAGGAATAGTTTGGTTTTCCATGACTATATTCTGTACTCTTTCTGACCCTTAGAAATTGAGTTTTTGAAAAAAAATATTGAGCCCTAAATTTAGGATTGATGTATTTGAATTGCATATAAAATTTCCATCCATTTGTGATGCATATTTGTCAGTCATGCATAAATGCAACAGGTAAGATTTCTGCACTCAAAAAAAATAAAAAAATAAATAAAATCATGGCATAGTTTATTAAATATTTGCATTTGTTTGATTTTGACATCTATTCCAAATGCATTTATTCAAATTGCTTAGAATTTGCATAAATCTGTTCATTGTGAAAACAAAATTGATTCAGCTGAAAAGTATGAAAATAGTTAAAATATGGCTATAGGTGTGGAACAAGCAATATTCAGTTTGTTTATATGTATGAGATTGAAACATTGGATTTATTGATGATAAATATAGAAACCTGATTATTGTGTTTTTGAAACACATTCAGTTTATTACCCAGATATGATCTGTTTCATTTATGTTTGGCAGACAAATATGCATCACATTCAGTTCAAATGGATGGAAATTTTAAATGCAATTCAAATGCATAAATCTTCAGTTTTGGCCTAGGTAGTACAATAAACTGCTTCATCTCAAAATATCAAGGGAAATTTGATTCCTCATAATATGAACTAGCAAAGGTTCTCAACACCTACTGTATTTAGGTAAAAACAGCCTTGTAGTATGAACATGACCTTGCTGTTTCACCATACAGCATGTTGGAAAATGTTTTCCTCAATTATTAATGTCATTTGTTTTGTTTCTAAAGCACAAAGATGAGTTTCTTGTTTGTTTTCTGCAGAATGGAGAGGCGTCACTGTTCGAGGTGAACATCCGTTACGTTGGCGGACTTCTCTCTGCATACTACCTGACGGGAGCTGAGGTAAGATTCAGACTCATCTGTGCTTCTCACTTAAGTTTGACTCGTTTTAATGTAATCAGTTGGAACAGGAGTTCATGTTTAATCATAAGAGTTACAGCAAGATCACATATGCGTGATTCATCTGAAACGGGCCAAGTTTTGAAACCCGAGGGCATCATATTAAAGTCGAAAGTAAAATAAAGGCGACACTCAGAGTCGTGAGTCAACCTAATGGACATTGATTTTCAGTCAGAATTAGTCAAAGAGGAAGACTGATGCTCTGTTTTCTGAGCCCATCCATCTGTGTTTATAGATCCATGTCAGATGTAGACACACGTGCTACATATGCACAACACATGAGTCATTTTGATGTTTCATTGAGCATTGAGATGCTCAATATAGACATATTTGTTTGAGAGATGGGAGCATATTGTAGGAATACAATAGTAAAATGTGATATTCTCCATCATTTTTATTAGATCGACCGATACTTATTTTTAGAACCAGTACTGATGCCGATTATCTGTATGTTCAATAACCGATATGCAGAACTGATATTTATTTACTGTTTTACTTGTTTTTGTTTAATTTCATTTTCATATCACAACAATAAAAACATAGAATTTTTTTTTTCAAATAAGAACAACTGAAGCAGCAGCAACACTAATACAAAAGGCGAAATAAATTGACAAAATCTAATGTTTTTAAATGGAGAACATTAATAATTGTGAAATAAAAAACTGACGTTTTTGTAGTTCCACTTTGGATAAAAGCATCTACTAAATGCATAAATGTAAAAATGTCAAGGGAGACTATCAACTTTGCATTAATGTAATAACTAGTTGAAAATACTGGTAAATTATCTGTAAAACCGATTATCGGCTGATCTCTAATTCTTAGTCACTTTGAGCTTTCTTCAGCTTTCTAGTCATATAGTTATTGTATTTTTACTCCAAACTTTTGCCAAGTGAACTCAAAGGTTTATTCAAACACTATATAACTGAGACATCAATTACAATAAAAATGTAATGCATATATTTAATGCAAATATAGTACTTAAAATGGTACTAAAATGCTCTTCTCTAGAATTTACGTCTTCCTGCAGTATTTTCTTCTTGAATTGACTCTTTTTAAATAGTTTTTATGGTTTACATTAACATTTATTTTATTTTTGTGGTTAATTGATATAATTGAGTGTAACTTCAGCACATTATTTCAGCAGATTATTTCACGTAGTATGACCAGATAGTCTGTATGTAATTTTTGTTCCATTTCATTTTCGTATCTCAATAAAAACACATTTTATAACAACTGCAGCAGCAATAATAATATTAACAATAGGCAAAATAAATTGATGTTAATGTTCTCAAATGGAGTAATATAAAAGTGATGCAAAAGCCTTTGCATAAATGTAATCATTAGTTGAAAATATCTGTAAAAATATCGGTTAAACCAATTATCTATTAAGTAATAATACTTCATTACAGTACTTAAGTATTTTTTGGGAGTATCTGTACTTTACATGAGTTTTTATATTTCAGCCAACTTTTACTCCACTACATTTCCTAATTAAAATGTATAATTTTACTCCGATACATTTCCCCGAAGCATATTCATTACTTACTACAAAATAGTCAGAAATCAGAAGAACACGGACTGGAGGAAAGCAGGTTTGACGAATCAGTGGTCTGGCGTCTGCAAGTTAGACTCCTAAAAACACCTTTGCTCATGTGCAAACAAGTGCTCACACAACCGCAGATGATTAATTTTCCACTCAAGTCGAGTCTGTGTGTGCGATATACAGTATATCTTCTGCGATAATATGGTAAGTGTTGTTGTAATGATGTGCGAGCTGACATTATCACGTACATCACAAAATCACACAAACAGAGACAGAGTGCATGCACGTAGGGCATGCACGTTTTGCAACTTTACAGATCTTCTTTATGCACCAAGAGCTTGTAACACTCCAAAGAGAAAGGAAAAATTGAAATCGCATCATATGACCCCTTTAATAATCATTTTATACAAGTTCAGTAAAACAGTAAGTGACTTACATTGTAGACATAGTATTGCTCGTTTTTGCTCAATTTTGCCAACGAAAATAGTTCCAAACAAAGATCTCATAGCACTGTTTTGCGTCTCTGAGCAATGGATGGTGTTTACTTATTGAATGAATCAGCTTTTTGAACAAATTGGTTGAATAAATGATTCAGTGATTCACTCATTAACACAGTCAAATGCTCTGTTCCTGAATGAATCAGTCGTTTGAATGAATTGGTTGAATCTCAATGACTCACTCATTAACAGTCACTTGTTGCCACCTACTGGCGGTTTTAATTTCACATTTCGACTAGTTATTTCATGTTTTAAATCATTTCAAATATCAGTATTCAACGTTTTATGTTAAAAACAAAACATTAGGCCTATTTATGCATCTGTAACTGCAAGTTAAATGCATCCATGTCCCCTCTGAGAAACATAAACTGTGTAAATGTATCTAAATGCTATTTCAGATGCAGAAATGTTTTCTTATGTTGGAATGAAAGACACTAAGTACCATGAGTGCTTCTTATTCTTACCCAAAAATACAAAATGGAAGAAAGAGTTATAACTGAACACAATCTTGCTACTCAAGCTGTGTATGAACATGTTTATATATATATTTATTTGCTTCTTTTCCATTTTGCATTTACTTGTACTTGTACTTTTACTTTCAATACTTAATTACGTTTAAGATTAAAAAAATACTTTTTGTACTTAAGTACAATAAATATGGAATACTTTAAGACTTTTACTCAAGTAATATTCTAAAAGGTGACTTCAACTTCTACCAAAGTCATTTTCTGGTAAGATATCTGTACTTTTACTTAAGTATGGCTTTCAGGTACTTTATACACCACTGCATCTCTGATGGATGTGGACGTAAAGAGAATCTAGTTTTGTACTTCACTGAAAGTGTGCATGAGATTCTGTCTCTCACTGTCGATGGAGTTTGTTGTGTACCTCTCTGATAAATCTCTTAGGAGAGCTCTGCAGTCTGTAGTGATCTATCCCTGCATTCATGTACGCTGGGAATCCATCATGCATGTGTGGTCTGGATGTAGATTTATCTCATCCGTCTCCTTCCCTGAGTTTCCGGGGGGTTGCGCCCCATGCAGATAAGGGCGGGTGATTGGAAAACCCACTTTTGCGAAACGGCCACGGTGGCGAGGCGTGCGTAAAATCACGCAGACAGCATGAGGTAGGAGCTTTCAGGGAAACATCACAGGGCTCCGGCTGCAGCTCACAGCAGGATTTACAGCTGCAGAGCTCCATTTGTTCAAAGGAAAAAGTTGCTCTTGTTTTGATTGCCGATAAATTCGTTTTCTCTCTCTAGGCTAAACATCATGACATAACTGTCGCTATCGTCTCGGTCGTGGATCTTAGCTGTTCTTGACTCTAAAACTCTAAATTCAGTCAGCCTGGGCCTTCTGTAATAATATACACATTCTATTAATGTTTTGTATTTTGAATGTCCAAAGCTTAACTGTTTTTTAAGGATGCATGATGCAGTTTTTTATTTATCAGTATCCGTTATTGATGTATATCAGAAATGTTAAATATGAAATGTGTTAAAACAACTAAAAATTAAGATTTAAAATGAAATTAAGTTTCTTAATTTTTTTCTTAATTAATTTATGCTCCCTTAACAACGACCACTTTTATTTAAGACTTGTATTTATTTATTTTAAAGACTTATTTATTTTAAAATAATTGCATCCTTACTGTTTGTAAATTAAAGTGTATATAAAAAAATAGTGCAGTAGCCATTGACATCCATCTGGCTCATGTGAACAATACATTTTTCATTTTATAAATTTGTTTAATGGTCATAACGGCAAATTTTTGCCGGAAGTTACTCGCCCATGAGATAAACAGTCCATCTCTGTACTGGCAAACATTTTATTGTCATTATTAATATAATAAAATGTAATGTTATCATTTGTTATCTTTTTTTAAATGTATGTACATTTTGCGAATGGATAAACAGTGTAATGCAGTGTAATGTTCATCCCAATATTCAGTCGTCATAATGTCTCTACATTAGCGTTCATTACACACTCGGCTGCTCAGTAAAGGTGACCTACATCGTGTTTTCTTCATATGCATGTACTTTACATCAAGCAAAACTCATTTGAAGGTTCACATCATATGTATCATGCATCTATATGACTATAAAACCAGTGAATTTATGCAAACTACTCAAAAACGACAGACTGGGCTGTAATTTTCCTCTCTGTAAATTGTCCCTGCACACCATGGCTACTGATGAATGTCTTCTTCCACTTGCCAACAGAACATCAGTCCGCTGTATCGCCCTTGTTTGTATGAAACTGAAGGGCGTTATATTACCTCTGCGCTTGTGCTAATTTACTGTAAGATCCCGCAGATATGCCAGGTGACCCGAATGAAGTAAAACTGCCATTTTCATTGATGCACATCTATGCGTAATTGACGCAGTAGTGTAGAGCAGATTGTATTGTTATAATTAGCAGCTGGCATAGAACTAATGATCTACTATATGTGTCTTTGCATGTTTATGTCAGTGCCCAGTACAAAATAGTATTCTTTTATAGTCTAAAAACAACTTAACATCCTTAAAGCATGATAAATGTTTATTTGTTGATTTTTTTTTTTAGCAATTTTTAAGCCCAGAGTTTCCGAGTGAAATATGTCCGACACAATGGATGCAGTATTTGTATTAATACTAAATTTGTTAAAATAAATAAATATTAAATAAATACAAATTAAATGAAATAATTAAATGAAAATATTTTTCTCTTACAATAAAACTATCTACATTGTAAAAACAATTTACTTTAAAAGTAAAGTAAAAACATAAAACAAAGATTAATGAGTATATTTTACAAGAAAAAACTATTTCAGTCTTCCTACTTTAAAAAAAATTGGTTTAATTTAATGTTACATACTATTAATTGTAAGTCTGTATTAAAGGGGTCATATGATGCTGCTAAAAA